CAACAACAGCAGCAACAACAGCAATATCAGCCACAGCAACACCAGAATCACAATCATGACAAGACCATGAATAAGAATAGGGCTGATAAGAAGAATCAGAATAAGGATCAAAACAATGAGAACCAAGATTCGCATGAGGAATAGGAATGAGAATGAGGTTCCCAAGAGCAATGATGCAAAAGCTACTGGAACAGCGATTAGTACTATCATCTAGCAATTTATGTTTTTACGAAGGTGTTGTAAGTCCGAGTAGCCGTGAACTTTTGTAGCCCCCGACTCAACCCGCCCCAACCCCCACCCACCAAGAAAGAGCAGTTGGAAGCGAGACGATGAGAATCAGGAGCAAAGTAACTAATGCCGACCACGACCTTGAATGCTACCATCATTCATTCTTGTCGTAAGCATCGAAACTGTTACCACCTTTACTCTCAGCAGCAGCAACCACACAAGTACAAACAAAGCATGCCAACCAATCTACCAAAGAAATAAGGGCAGCATCAGCAGCAATCGTCAATGTACATGTGTGGGCCTGGCTGCGATCTGCTTCTCATGTACGAGCTTGCTTGGCGCCTGGCAGAAAAGCCGTGAACGAAGAGACATGGCCACAAGATGTCACAAGGCAGCACTCCGCGCCCTCTGGCAGTGAACATCTTCGACTTTCCCAGAGTGCTCCGCTGCTCGTAGGCACCGGGTCCAGGAGCGTTCTGCATGCAGACATGGCTTTGAGCGGCGTTCTGCGTGAGAAATCGGGAGGGCCTCAGGCAGAGGAGGGCCACGACCAGCATTGGCACCGGCAAAGCTAACCTGTCAAAGAGCAAGCCGTGGTCGTGCAACGACGCAGCGCCATGTTCCTGACAGGGCCTTGGGGCCGGCTGTTAGGAGAGGATCTCTCGGGTTGTACCTGGCGTACACGAAACGTCCGTTGAAAGTGATTTTGGGGGTTTGTGAAACTTCAGCGCCAGGGTGCGCTCCGGGTCCTGGCTGCTTCTTGGTAGGCACTTCGCCTGTCGCTTCTACTAGTAGCTTACACGCACACTCTCATGAGCGTGTCACGGCCGAGGACCTGACCAACAGCAAAGCGTGTTGCACCACCAAAGCTGAACTTTGGCAGCGACTGGCGGCACAGCGTCAGTCTAGCGTTTGTCCACTTGACTCAATGCCGAGCACTTTTTCGAGCTGTGCGAGCTGGGAAAGCGGGTGTTCGTTGCCTGCACAGGTTGGGAAGTACCTTCCCTTGAAACTAAGGAGACACGAAAATGGCTTGCTGATGCGGTTGTTAAGTGATTGGAATTACGACCCCGGGTGGGCCGGTGTGCGAGAAGCACTGAGGCCATGCGTGCTGGCACATACGCACGTACAAATGATTAAATCTCAAACCATCTCTCCAGACAGTGAGAATCATAGATGGTCACGCAAAGACAACACAAGAAGATCGTGTGCACCAGAGTCCAGGCCTTGCTTTGCAACTATTTACAGACAGGCTCACCAATGCTGGCTCTGTACATGGACAGCGCCCCTATGAAACACAACCAGGTAGTGTCTACATGTAGAGATGTCGAGGTTAAGTCCTGAAGCCTAGGTAGGTCCATAGAAGTGACGATGAGAGGACACAAGACTGTAGCTGGCGTAGGCAATGTTCAGGCTCTCTTTGGGGCTTCATCGGAGGCTGCTACCGTGGAACTCATGGTCTGAGCGCCGCGGCCCAAGAAGTAAAAGAGCGGTTGGAGCTTTCCGCTCGGGCAGAGGAGAGCACACCTCTGACTTGGCTCAAAGCCAAGATGGAAGAACAGAAACGAGAATGGAGAAGACTCGGGGCAGTGACTGGGAATTTGAGGCCTGGGTCTGGGACCCTGCCGGCTTCGTACCGAGGATGACCGAAGCATGGGGGGGGGGTTTTGCTGGCTCCCTCTGCAGTGTCCGAGGCGCCGTACTTTGCAGCTCCATCTGTGCACTCAGATAGGGGCAGCCATCTCCGCCGCTAAACGCCAGTGCGAGCTCTGTCACCTCAGTTTTCAATGCACGGATTCCTGACATGCCAAATCTGAAAGCCGAGCTTCCCACGTGAAGCGCTTGTGCGCTTCACTTCATCGCTGGAAGCGCTGGTTGCGGCCACCGCGGAAACGCTGCTGGCGGTGCGGCGGCACTGTCTGCTGCTGCTTCTTCTGCTTGTTGGACTGCTGGTGGCAGTTCTGCTGGTAGAACTGCTGCTGGGGCGATTGCTGCTGATACTGCTGCTGGTACTGCTGGTTCTCACCTCAATGCAGGAAGCGCAAGTCACAGGACCGCATGAATCCCATCGGTGCAAAACCCGTTTTCAGGTCCGGACTTGGCCAGCTCTTGTAGAATCGGTGAGCTCCCAAGTCCGGGGCCCTCAGGCGGCGCTCAAATACCGGCAGGTCAGGAGCCCCTGCTGTCATGGGATCCCTGCAGCGTGTGCAGCAAAGCTTGGCCGTGCTTGGTCTTCGAAATGGCACCAATGTTCTCCTCGGACAGGCAAGCAAAGTGTACCCGGCTACCCAGTCCAAAGAACTTTGGCGGCCAACTCGTGAAACGTGAAACCGATGCACCTTCAGGAGGCTTCGCACCTGCTTCTCCAGGATAGGATGACGCTGACAAACCTCGAAAATGACAGGCAGGCATAGCAGACACCAGTTGACAGATGCAGCCGTTTTGCCTAATTATCCAGCCGTTCTCAGCTGCTGCCAAGTGACATGGAAGAGGCTCTGGCATGCAGCGAAACCTGGGCTACAGCAGTTGCTACCGTCACCTGACCATAAGATGCGATACATCTGGGACCAAAGCCTTTTTGCATGGTGGCCATCTGGCCAAATGTGTAGGGGTGGCTGGCCAGCGCCACGGCGAGAAGAGTGCTTTGATATGCATTGGCATGAATGAGAACCTGCGCGATGCGCACTTCTCCAGAAGGCCACAGCTTGCATTAGCTACGACTGCCCAGCAGTGGCCTTGTTGAGCACCCCGCATCCGCTCGGGTCGACTGCAAATTGATGAAGGTGGTTCAAGACCACGTTGGCCTGGAAGCTCTTGTTGCTGTGCTCTCTACCGCATGACATGCAAAAGAGTGCAAGGACTTGCCATCTTCAGGCAAGCCCAAGCTTTACAATCTTTACATGTGAACTCCAAGGAACTCCAGCGACGATTGCAAGGACAAATCACGAGACTGGCTGCATCGGATAACAGTGTAGCGACAACTGGTACGAGCAAGGAAGCTACATGACGGTTTCTGGTTCAGCTTTCAAGAGCTGCCCGTTGCAATCCTTTCCTCCACAAAGACAAAGTTCACTTGCACTAGGGTTTAGGGTTTACAACCCTAAACCCTAAACCCAAAACCCTAAACCCTAAACCCTAAACCCTTACGGTAATTGTTAGAGTTTGCTCAGTAGCAGTCTGGCCTGAAATAGAGTTTAGCTGCGGTTCAGCTGGGTCTGGCTATGGTTTTGGTGTGGTTTAGGGTTTAGGGTTTAGGGTGTTTCGATGCAGTTTCCAAGGCATACATCATTGCGGGAGGGCCTTTGTCTCGGGTTTAACAAAGCTAGGGGCTATAAGAGTACATGCTATAGGAGCACAGGGGCCTTAGGGTTCCTTTCAGGGCTCCTTCAAAGGAGCCCGTTAGGGTGGGGTTTAGGGTTCCCTTTAACGACCCATAGAAGGGAACCCCTCAGGGTAGGGTGTAGGGTTCCTTTTAAGGGAACCTTAAGCGTCGGGTGTAGGGTTCCTTTAAGGGAACCTGAAGGGTAGGGTTTAGGGTTTAGGGTGTAGGGTTCCTCGAGTTGCTGGCTGCGAAATGAGGATGCCACGGTTTAATATAGGGGCCTTCATATTTAGAATAGGGTTCTGGGGCCCATTATACTATAAATATAATAAGGAACCCCCAAATAATGTAGGTAATTAGTAAGGCCCCTGTATTAGAGTTTATGGTTGAGCGACAAGGCTCTTAGGGTTTGGGGTTTAGGGTATTTATGGTTGAGGGACAAGTTTTCGAAGTCGCCCGAATCCTATGCTTAGAGACCCACATCCGCAGATCTGTACATGCTGACTCGCTAAGGATCTCATCTTCCCAGCCCAAGCCCTAAACCCCGCTATCATGATTAGACCATCAATCTACAGAAATCTCGCATGCCTACATGCATACAAACCTATAGCCTACATACATACATACATACATACATACATACATACATACATACATGCAAAACATACATGCATGCATGCATTCATGCATACAGACATGCATACATACACACATATGCATACACATGTATTCATGCACTCATTTGTCAAGTTTGTACATGGGTGTACACACAGAAGAAGCGGCTGTGGGGCCTGTGCCTTTGCATGCCACCACGTTGACAGACTTAATGTTTACAGTATGTTTGGGCGCTGTCCGTTTGTTGTTTGAGTGGTTTTGCAATACCCCGGTTTATCTTCATGCTGCAATGGTTGTCCAACTGAAAACTTGCAACACGTGATACATGAGCAACTTCGGCGATACAACGGGTACTTGAAAGGCGTAGACAGCAACCAGCACTGCGATGGCCTAAATGCAAATGCCAAGCCCTAGACCCTAAACCCTCAAACTCCAAAGCCCCACCCTGAAGAAAGCCCCTGCCAAATCCTAAACGAGATTTCCATGGAGGTAAACCTTGAGAGCTTGTTTGCAGTTGGGGCGCTCACAGTGGCGTCCCCGGAGCAGGTAGCTTTAGTATTGGGTCCGAAGGGGTTGATACTGCTGATGATATAAATCCTGCATTACCTTAAGGACCCGAAACTATGGGAATTAAGGTATATTCCGTATTATGGGTAATGCAGGACTTATATCATCAACCGTAGTGTGCAGGGATTGTGTTCGGGGAAGGTCAACAACTTCGGCTTTTACGGGCCCGGTTTAGAGTGCCCCAACCTGTTTTCCCCAAAAAACTCAAGTAATTCCTCCCTGACCTCTGAGAAGCCCTAAACGCTGAAACAAGCCATAAGTCCTAAGCGCAAACTCGCTCACTCACTCACTCGCTCACTCACTCACACGCGGAATGGTTCGTCCAGAGCGTCTAACATGCAATCCCCAACACACGCTCCTACATCCTCAACATTAAAGTCTCGGGGATTATTTGAAGGGCTCATCCCACGACGCAGCAATGATAGGTCCGAAGGATACTTTCCGCCCCCAGGTCGCCAAGAAGGGGGGGTTAGACAGACATGGAGCTGGGGAGTCTAGAGTTTTAGGGTTCTGGGTTTGGGAAATTGTGGGTTTAGGGTTTAGTGTGTGTTGAGGGATTAGGGTTTTTTGGCTGGTTTGGGGTTAAAGCGAGGACGCAAAGAGCCGCCAGAAGTGTTGGCAAACGTTTGCTCAAAATCCCGGCACGGTTCAGCTAGCAGCATATCGTCCTCCTGCAGAGTCCATGGGTGAATGCGTTTTAGAGACGTATGTACTTCCGAATTGTATAGACCCCCACACCCTGTTCCGTTTGTCTAGGGAAGGAACGATCTCTTGGCAGCAGCTCGGCCCGCCGTACTCCACGCAGTGCTGCACGGAGTAGTTTCCAATCGCCTTAGCACACTTAGAGACCCCTGGCCCCTGCGGAGGCCTCCACTTAGCTGGGCTCCCGACATGACATGAGAGCTCGGCCGTGTGGCGAACGACATCCTTCAGGGATCTTCAGGGTCCGTTCTCTTGTCTGCCCGCGCCTGTCCATCACCTAGAGCCTCGCACAGCTCTCCACAAGCACTAGCACCCGTCCTCGATGAAAGGGAAGGAGCACTGCATCGGAAAGAACTCAATGATGCGCTCCAGCACACGGCACGCGTACCTTGAACGGCCAGATGCCAGCGGCTCACCAGCTCATTTATGTGGTCGTCTATTCCGACATTAGTCGCCTGTGCTTGGCAATCTCAGACGGGCAGCGCCACCTGACCAAACAGGAAAGCAAATGCAACTTGGTCGGGCAGCGCAGGTGATAGGAAAGTCAGATGTCAACTGAAGCTCGGGAAAGCATTGTTTCATTAATAGCTTGAACATCTGGACAAGTCGACTCGACTCCACAGGTTACACGGCCGAGCTCAACTGATTCCGGCCTGAGCATTTCCTCGATCACCTGTCAGATGCAGGACTCACGTCTGTTGGCTAAGGTGGAGAAACCGCTGGGCGCAAGACGAAATACAAACGTTCGGAGCTGAGCACCCGGATGGCTTGCTGAAGCACGAAGTTCCCGTGAGGTGATTGGGCAACCTTATTGGCCAGATCTGAACACCCCTACCGCACTGGCATTCTCCCCAAGCTGGGATCGTGGCTTCGGCCACGTGGCCGTGGAGCTGGCGCAGGATTTCCTCTTGCTCTTCGAAGGTGCCAGCCTGCTGAGCAGATGAAGCTTCCCAATCGATCAGAAGACGCAGTACCGGCAGTCGCTCTGTGCTCGACGGTCATGTCAGTCGCGCTTTGCCTTCCTTGCCCTGAGCAATCGTGCCTGGAGCAGTTGCTGCAGCTCGCGGCAGCCTGCATCGGAGAGTTGCACATGGTCACTGTCAGAGTCCACGCTGCAATGCGAATCTGGCCTACGCTGTCGTTGGCTTTGCGCAAGACCTGCCAGTCCAGTCCATGAAGACACAAATAGGAGTTACGATAGGAGCCATACCTCCCAACAGCTCCCCAGCAGATGCCTCCATGCGCATACCTGGGATGCCTGTGGGAGTTGCGGGAGGCGAGCTGGTCGTGGAATTACTGGACAAGGGTGTCGATGCAGCAAATGTGGACATTGGTGACATTGACATAGGTGTCGGTGTCGATGCAGTGGTCGGAGTCGAAGCCTGGCATGAAGAGCTCTCGGAGACCCACAAGAGAGGTGCGGCCCGAGTCCGAGCCCTTGAACATGCCGAGAGTGCGGCAGATGCCGGAAATGCGTAGAACACCTTGATGGCGCTGCATGAATCAAGAGCTCTGAAGCCTTGTCTGTCTTATCTTATGAGCTGGGACAAGGGCTTTTGGAAACGTCACCCACCCTGGATGGACGGCAAATCCACCAAATCCTGCAGGCAGTCGGCAGAGTTTGGAGGACCTCTTGGCGCCCAGCATCTGGCAAGATTACGTAAAGTTAATAAAGCATAGACAAGGGAAGTTGGAGCACAAGTGCTTGGATCCAATCGTCCTGATCCTGAAGCTGTCGCCATGTTCATGTTTACGTTCATGTTCATGTTCATCATGGCTGCGTCGAGGTCAGCCGACGGCTTGCAGGCGACCTACCAGCACTGCACTCATCACTCTTTTCCAGTTTGGCTGCAAAAAAGCCTGGAGGAGGCGCGGTTGTTGTGCGTCCTTGGCTGCACGGTTCGCAAGAGGAGCGAAAGTTCGGAACTTGGGACGGTCGGGATCGCTGATCGGCCCAAGTGGCCGCTGCGCACGAGTGGTGGGCAACTAGGCAAGCTCGCAGGGCTCGCGAGCAAGTTTGAGCCAAGTCGGCTGCGATGCAGCCTGCATGTCAACGTGGAGCTAAACTCTAAGGCTAAGGCGACTTTTAAAGTGACGAATGATCACTCAAGAAGGACTGCTTGCTAGCTTCGGCTCCTTGCCTTGTACCGGCCTCCACCATGCCCGGTTTGCCTGCACAGACGCTTCAGAGGAAACAGAAGGTGGCGAAGCTGAGCTGAGGCAACGGCATGTTGTAGGATCCCGGTGCCGGAGTACTGCTGCTGGCGATAAACGTGCTCGGCCTGTCTTGCAGCATTGCAGCACTGTGCCACTTCCAAGCTCTGGGGCTCCGGCCCCTTCTGGCCGAAGGACCACCTGGCTGCAGGACGACTGTCCGCTTTCAAGACAGGTCCGGCCCTCCGGGCCTCTGTCCTGTCTTGTAAGTTGAGACAGTGTGCATGAAGGTGGGCCCCTTTTTCACCTCGAATCCCACGACTCCCACGGCGGTCACGACACGCGAGGCTCAAAGCGTAAGCTAGCGGCGCCATCTGTTGTCATACTGGAGAACTGCAGCTTGCTCTTCAGATCCTCCGATGAGTGCGAAGTGAAGCCAGGCCTGACAGAAAACTCGGAGAGGCAAGTTCATGTGTTTCAGGGACCCCTTTCAAAGTCCCCGACGAACTTCGGATGCTCCGGTTCATCGTTTTTGGGGAGGCGCTTTGGAAAGAATCCTTGGCAAGATGGGTGAGCCAGCGCTCCTCCGCATCAACGTCATCAAGCTCCTTCTGAGACCCGGTCGAAAGACTGGTCATGATGCATGTCGTGCTGATCCTGCGATGGCTCTCCCATATCCTTAGCATCACACGCTGCATGGGCTGTCACCACGGAAATCTGAAGCCCGGGAATACGACATCTCGGACATCTTTCAGGAGCTTTGCAGCACTGTCCTCTTCTCAGACAAATGTTCTGGTAGCTTGCATGAAGGAGCAAGGCTTTGTTTGCATCTAGCTGACTGATGTTTCGGCCTCTGCATCAGCTTCGTCAGCATGCGCTGGGTCGCGATGCGGAACGTCCGGTGGTGCATCAGGTGGACCGTCTGCTGCAGCATCATTAGTTGGCTGCTGCCCAGCTCCGGGCAACGTCTCGTTGTCTTGGCTTGCACTTTGCGCGTGCTCAGCTAGTGCCTGTCCATGACAGGGGCGTGCTACAACGCCCTCGAGTCTTGGAGACATGAAGTGTCTCCCAGCCTGCGAGATCGCCTCATCATGGTCGGCGGCTACAGCATCAACATGTTCTGCAAGCGCCTGCTCAATGGCGGTGTCCTGGACAAGGCATGGCCGCCAATTCTCGAAAGCTGTGCAAGGCATGACCGCTCCAATCGCCTGCTCTGCAGAGCGTGGCTCCTGAAGTGTTGAAGCAAGGTAACGCAAAAACATCATAAGGAACGCCTTTTGGATGAGCCCCAGCCTCCGCCGGAGTTTGCTGAGCCGCGAGATCGGCAGGCGGCTCAGCCGCTTCTTGCGGCTTTGGAGGCTCCGCACCCGCTGAGCTTTCTGCTGGCGACTCCTTGCAGAGCGTAGAGAGATCTGTCCCTGCCGCCCAAAATCCCAGACCTGGCTACACTTGGCACCTCTGGCGGAGAGGCGTGCTCCGCTAGCGCTTCGGAAACCGTTGCGCGGTTGTCGGCCTGGAATCTGGATACGCAAGACTTGGAAAGAAGCGACACAAAGTCCCACCTCATTGGCATCTGCGTGTTCGGCAAGGGCTTGCTGAACCACCTAGGGCTGGGCAGAGCTTCAGCGAGAAGAGGAAAGCTTCAGTTCCAGGGACCTCTGCGTTCTCTGCCTTCCCTTCCTCGGCCGCAGAAGGCCCATCTGCCTCGCTGTCAGTTTAATCGAAAAGGAAAGGAGGCGAAGACGAAGCAAAGATGAAGAGGTGTGCCGATGTAGCCGTGTAGCCCTCCGCTTTATCGTTTCTTGGCTATGGCGCATGTGCTGGTACGGCCGCTACCGTTAGAGGAGCCTTACGGTTCCAGCTCTGAGACCGGAAGCTCCTCCCTGAAGCCAACGCATGTACGGCTGCATACATTGGGCCTGCGCAGATTCTGCCGGCGCCGCTGGCTCACCAGGGGCACTTTCTGCGACCGGATCCACTTGCGAAGCCGATGCCTGCGATGCCTGCGAGGTACGGGCTAGCACGAGACTTACATCGAAACTCGGGAATCCTGTTCATGCCTCGGCTCCCGCCGTCTCCGGAGCCTATGTCGCGAGCCACATTTGACACACTTTGGCCATCCATTGAAAGGATAAGTCTTCGGCAGCTCCAGCTGCCGAGGAGGGCTCCTGAGCCTCAGCCTGCTGCAAGGGAAACTGCGAGGCGTGACGACACCAATGAAACGCACCTCGTTGCCGGCTGGAGAAGGTGGCTCAGGGTCAGCCCGTGGAGGCTCCGCTGCCTGCGGGAGCTAGCGTCCCGCAAGCCCCGCTCTTGAGACCGCACTTGCCGCATCCGCAGGCGTCCTGCCTCGTTTGTCTCTGCCATGGCTGGCACAGTGTGCCTCCGCGATGCAATGTGAACGGTGACTGCTCCTTTCTCGAGGCACTGAGCCACGTACCGTTGCCCCGTGGCTTGGGATGGAGAGATTGAGCCGAAGAGAGCACAGGATGAGTTCGTAACACACAGCCCGGGAAGCTAAGACGGCCAGCTACAGTTCTGACAGAGTCGCAAATTGTCGCAACAAGTCTTTTCCGAGCGATCTGTGAAATAATCGATGCGCTGGCGCGGATCTCACAGTTCGCCCTTCTTTCCCTTGCCTCTCCTGCTGTCAGAAACAGAAAAATGACAGCGGATGCAGGGCGAAGGCCGTGGCCTCGGAGCTTCGCAGCGCCCGGCCTCACGGCCTGACAGGAGCCACTTCTTCGACGCGACGCCCCGCTTGTTTTCGCCGCAAGCGGATCCGCCCAGAGATGTTTTTTGGGTGCTACCAAGATACAGACTTTGCGGATGATCTCGGAGAACTCAGCGCCGTCCTGAAGCGGCTGACATCCAGGTCCAAGTGAGAGGTTTGAACCCACCACCCCAGCCTCCTTCATCTCCACGGCTTGCGCAGCCATCTCTGCACCGTTACGGCCAACTGTGCTCTCACAGGCAATGAACACAGCCTTCTCAGCAACGTCGTGTCCAAAGAAATCCAAGGTCACAAGACTTCAGCAGGCCTCATTCCGCACGTGGTAAGTGTCTACATCCCTCTCCGTCGGTCTAGGTCGCCACAGCACCAAGGGATACGACAGGCGAGAGATGTCTGAGCCTGGTACAAGCGTTCGCTCTGCTCCAGGCACCACTCTGGACCTGAGCCGCAGCCGAGCCCATCCCCGATCATCCCCGAGCCAGAGCTGTGCCCCTTCGAGCCCTGCGCCGGTGCCGGCATCAGATTCCTGCACGCCGAAGAAAACACCCGGCGGCGCACAGGACATCTTCAAGATGCTGGGAAGCCCACGGAGACTGGTGCACATTTTCGCGCGGACCATCCCCTGCAGAGCTGCAAATGGAAGGACTCTTGCTCTGCTGGACAAGCTAGGCAGCTAGTCCAATGTCAAGGATCTCTTTTTTGCAGCTTCCTGATAAGATCTGACGGACATCCGGCTTGGCACCTTCACCAGCCGGGCCTTTCGTCTGTCAGGACAGGGCGCAAGCGTCTGGCGGCACGAGTCGGCGCGAGAGTGCCACGGGCTACAAGTATCTTGTGCAGATTAGGAGTGCTCTCAGTTTGAGCGCAGTCTGCACTTGCCTCGATCATCCAAACAGCAACAACTAGAACTGCTCCACGCATGAACATGCCATGCTAAGAACTCGGCGGTATTAGCATGCCTGGTTCGCTGCAGACATGACGACGAAACAACAGGCGCTTCCCGGTTTCGAGCATTGGGCCTGAATAGGCGACAAATTCTCGGCCTTCAAGGACTTGGTCGCAGTCGCGCCTGCATGGCCACTGAAACTCAGGAGCTCATGACAGCCATTCCCGAACTCAACATGCACCAGACTCAGCTCGTCTCGCAAGCAGATTTGGATGGTTTTTTCCAGGTGCTTGGATTGATGTGACCGAGCCAACTTCCAAGCCGGGATGCCAAGCGAGAGGGCACGTGATGGCACGTGCTCCCAGTCAAGTCCGACACAAGGAGCTGCGCTGCCCGACCGGTGCACTGCGGCACAAGTTCTGATGGTTTTGACATGGGCGCATAGGCATTCCGGCACCTCCCCCGGATCCTCCTTGGGCCACAAGGTGGCCATGCTTTGCTGCAGCAGGCTATCGTCTTGTCTGCTTCGTCGGCCCTGTGTTAGGATTCTGCCCCTAAAGTCCCGGTAACAAAACACGACGACAAGGCCTGGAAGGCGAACGCTGTAGCGGCCATCGCAGCTTCCAGCACCCTCGCAAAAAAGTCGGATCACAAGCAGCTACATGGTCCTCTTCCATTGGTATTCGATCCCAAATGCTGGCCTCGACAGTTCCTTCAAGCCCATTCAACTTCTGACCAGCTTCACCTGGTCATGTCTTCAAAGGCTGGCAGCTGTGAGAGTGTAGCAGAGTCAGGAGGCTCGGGCTCGCCAGGTTTTGAACCTCTGACACAGAGGCTGTGCACGTCTGAGCAGATCATTGCGAAACTTCCGGGGCCTTTCGCTGCTGAGAGCCGGGCGCGAACCCTTTGGCCCGGTGCGAACGGCGGAGACTCCTGCACGGCCTCCCCCGCATGGCCGGGACCAGGCTCGGCGCTGTCACCGGGCCCGCCGGCCTCCTCCGGTGCCCGACCTTTTGAGCTCCGACATATCAGCCAAATATCAGCCTTGAAGCTCAACAAAGAGGGTTTCCAGGGCACCCGGCTATCCGGAAGTCGGATCAAAATGATCGTCTCGTTGTCTGTTCCTGCCAGGGACGACATCACTCCTGAGTCACTGCCGTGTGCCCCAGCCTTCTTCGATCGGTCTGCCACGTGATGACCTGGCCAGACTTCAATAAACATTAGATACATCTGTCTAGCCTCTTCGCGAACCCCGAGCGGCAGACCGAGCACAGCATGCATGGAGCACTTCAGTCCTTATGCGCGTGCGAAAGCACAGCTCGCGCACATGGCAACCGGTGATACAGGCAATGCAGCACATTTTCACCAGGCGAAACACGCTATCTGTTCCAAAGGCATCGCCATCTTGAGCCGCGGCCATATAAGATTCGCTATGTCCTCCACGTCCACTTGAGTACAACATGCTTTGTCTGCTGTCCACAAGACGAAATCACGTCTGCGTCCTGATTCGAACAGCGCTCGAACAGGCCGTCGCAAGCGAGGACCAGAAGCTCTTGCGGCCTCAACTTTGGGGCAGCATCTCGTTGCTAGTCCGGTCCTGACCTCTATAGTACCTGACCCTGACAGTGATGGTCTCCTTCCGTCTTTTCGTGTCGCTTGTTTCATGTGATCTTCAAACGAAGCTACCCATCACAACGCAAAGTGATAAGTGGAAGCATAGGCCTGGATTTGTCTTGACTGCCCACAGCCAGCCCAAAGCATGCCTAAAGCTCAAGACCTAAGACATGACTGCTCCATAAGATCAACGGAGAATTAAGCGTCTGGGCATTTTGCATGTTGGTTTGGCGAAAATGTTCAGGTCACAGCTACTCTGTCCGAACCTACCCTGGCTGGAGAAAAGCCGACGGTTTTCGGTGGTGCCCGATGACAAGCAGTGAAGCAGATCTTGGCGATGATCAGATCCATCCCGACCGCGCACTGTGCACGAATCTTTTGTGGGCGCAGCCGCCTCCGCCCAAAAAAGCTGAAAGTGATTCATCTTCAGGAAGCTGTGTCTCAAACATGACATGAACCTTCGGGACGGGCGAGCTCGTCCGTCACGATGCTGGTGCAAGGTGTCACGTCAAGGCCAAAAGCATCTGTAGCTTCCCAGCCAGCGTCAGCACGGTAGTTGCTGTCATCGGCGTAATGGATTGGATTGACCGGGACATTCAAGAGTCGTAGCATGTTGCCCTGCATGCTGTTGTTTGCACGGCCTCCTCGTGCAGAGGGAGCTTTGCGTCACAGATCTTGCAGATCAGAGTCGCAGCGCCAAACATGAATCGTCTGAGATGGCACATGTCAAATACACGCGCGCCACCCCGAAAAATCAAGCGTACTGTAGATTCAGTTGATCAAAAAATGCCTCCCTGTGAGTCGGTGTGCCCACAAAGACGGCGGAGTGTGGGGATCAACTGGTCTGTGGCGGAATGCAGCGAATACGAAGAAGAAGCTCGCGCCGGAGGTGGCCCCTGCAGTTAGAGCGCCATCGGGCACATCTCTTCGATGGGCGCGGCGGCCTTCGAGAATGTACATGAACAATCCAACTCCAACTCGAGAGGGGTCTTCGTCTATGAAGAGCATCGGGAAGGCTTGGGGGTAGCCTCACAAAGGGGTTCGGCACGTGGCTAGCCCCGATGCGAGAAAGCCATAAAAGGATTGGAAACTATCGGTTGCGGAGATAGCAACCCTGATTTTGATATCTGCTCACAACTATGTGTGCGAAGAGCTGGTGCAAAGTTGTCCGTTGCGTGTTGATATTGGTACATCCCTAAGTCCGTGTTCCCGCCTCACGCCACCCCTCCCTTTTCTCCCCTTCGCCTTTGCCTCCTCCCTTCTTTCCTTTCTCCTGTCTACGGGTGACTGGGGCACGAAGCTTGGGGAGTTGCCGCCGCCCACCGGCCCGAAAAACGAAGAGGCACCAGTTAAGCTCATTGCGTGCCGCCTGGTGCAACAGCCGGGACGGTTCCCCAGTTTGCAAACGAAGTGTCCACCCTTTTTCAACAGAAAAGCGGGAAAACTGACCGTGCGGGGGCTCACTGCAGCATACTCGGTGGGCGCGGCTTGGACGGATGAGTACAGCAGATCGAGGAGAGCAAACTAACAGCCGTAAAATCTGACAAGCTAGGCTGAGACGTTCTGGTGGCCATAACGGTGGACTGTGGCATACCTCTGCAGGCTACTTTGTGGGATGGCTTTATTCTGCGGGATGCTCTGGGGTTGGCACTCTGGTGGTCCCGGAAGACTACTCCAGTGGTACTCTGCGCACTACTCACTACCCCTGGGGCGGGCATCCAGGGATGCTCTGAGTTGCTCTGAAGGTTCCACAACTCTGCACTGCGGAGATGCTCTGCGAGTTTGTGAAGCAAGTTGTCATGCAGCGACCTGCAAGTGCTCGAAGCGGTTTGGCCGTGCTGTTGACATTTGTTCAATGCCGCCAGCTAGGAAGAGCTTCACCGGATGATGCAGAGTCTAGAGTCTACATATTCAGAAGTACTGCAAAATGGAGTGATGATCCTACCTTTCCGCACAGTGTCGTGCGGCAGATGGAATGCCAGCGACAGATTGCCGTTCGCAAAAGGTTCGGATGAGAGAAAGCCACTACACATGACGGTGCCAGTGCTAGGGCTCTAGCCAGCCGCGGAAGGCCGTTCGCGTCACATCTGGATATGCTATCACCTCCGTGCCAAAAAAAGCACGCGGTCGAGAGCTGAAGATCAAACCCAAGTAGTCCCGTTAGCATGCATTGTACACTGCACAAAGCTCGCTCTTTCGCTTCGAAGCTACAGAACTAATGGAAAAACTCTGATTTTGCGACGTAAGACCGGCCCTCTTGCCTTCTGCTTCTCAGCCGGAAGGTGTGCCGTCGACTTGTAATTGAAATCACCAAATGCCTGCGACGTCAATGTGTTTCCGGCAAAGCTGTTCTGGTGCGGGATTGCATGTGCGGACTCCAGCTGAGCTTCACGCCCTCGAAAGGTTCAGGTTTCCGTCTACACGATGGCAAGGCCCAATCTTAATGACCTGCGATGCAGGCAATGGGGGATCCAAGAGACAGGTGTGAAAGGACTGATGAAAGAGATTTGCCAGTCCCAGTCTTGTCGTGCCTTGCCTGGCCACCAGCTGCCCGGATTCGGTTTCGCTCTATGGGATTTTCAGGTTTGTGATCCTCGGACAGTGCGATGGCCTGGCGTGGGTGGTATTCCATAGTCGTGGTTCAGATGTGCTTCAAAGCGGTCACAACGCCCGGCCTTCCCATCCCGTATGAGAAGAGCACGCGAGTCACCCACATTGCCAACGATTACCTGAAAGCTCTTCGCGCTTGAAGCTCACAAGGATCTGGCCCCTTGCCTCTCGCCCAACGAGGTCCACGGCGGCGGTCACACATGTTGAGCCGCATGCTGCAAACGGGTGCAGAACACCCGGGAACAGCCACCCGATTCCTCAGGCATCAGGGGCCAAGGCTCAGATCCAAGGTTTAGGTGTTTAGATCTGGATGGCTCCGGCTCCAAGACTCGAAGGCCTAAGGCAACTACCCCAGGAACCGCTTCGCAGTTTCTCGTCCAAGCGCGGGAGCGATTGGCGAACGACCTCCAGACGTCTTGACAAAGCTCTTGCCTTTCGGGCCTTTCGCATCTGAGACATGGCTGCCCTTGTCCCATCCCCATGCTGCCTCTGCGAGCACTTCCGCTTGAGACATCTTGCTGGTGTGGAGTCTTCTCCTGCAGGCCTTGCACGAAAGGCCCAAGACAGAAGAAGCACAACAAAAGAGCTCGGCACCTCCATCTCTCGGGTCAAGAGCTTCGAGGCCAAAGTTGAGACATCGCTGCCTCCACGATGCGTTTCGCTTCGTTCGCCACAAGACATCACAAGACCGAATCGATGCCTCCATGGCCATCCAGCACCGCAAAGAGCAGGGCATCTGGCACAAGCTGCGAGCTCCAAGCTACAAGCAGCTAGGGCAGATAAGGCGGCTGTCTGCCTTCAAAAGCATCTTTGCAGAAGTCGGCTGCCACGTGCGCGTCCTGTGGGGTTTCCAGTGATTCAGAACTGTGCTGCGCTTTATGGAAGCGCGGTGCTCCTCCATATGTTCGCGCCAACCCCTCATCTCAGCTGACACCCACGACACGGAGTTGTCGCGGAAGCTGCCAGACCTCAAAGGCTCGCGGCAAAACATGCTAGGAGGATTTGAACTGCAGCTCCGAGTGCTGGGCTCCACGTAGACTCGCAAGTCGGGCGTGGGCTGCACATTGCAAAGGGAGCTGACCTGGTCGCCAGCTTCGCCAGCTGCGCTGGACTTCACATTGCAGCTGCCTGGCGCAGTATCCAAGTAGCGAAGACTGCGGCGACCTGCAGCCCGGGCCAGCTGAACGTAGCTGCTCCGTCGCTTGAGTCCGCTTGAGGCCGCTTGAGGCTTCGGGCCGCGTAGAAGCAGATGGAGCGAAGCTGTACAGGGGCCTCCAGCAGCGGGACACAGAGCTCAGGAGCACTTACCGTGCCGAGTCCCGCACCAAACCGATGACCTGCGCGGAAGGTGGCAAGGATGTAAAGTGCGAAGATGTGGGAAGCAGCATTACGCAGCAACATGCAGTGGTGGAAGCATGGTTGCGAGTGTTGCCAGCCTTGTCCTCGATCAGGAATACAATGTACAGGCTGAACACAGCTCGACCTTGGGTAAAATCCAAGCCGTGCAGCTTCCTGTAGACCACTTTCGGATCCGTGGCACAGGCTAACACAGGCCATGAGGAAAGGCGCCCATGGCCAGGACAGGGACCTGAGCTCAGAAGGCCGTCCGAGGGCCGCCTGCTAGGATCCCTCTTCGGCTCCAGGCCAGAAGCTCTTCCGGTCAGGTTGCCCCATTAACTAAAGCCTCACACGTTGCGGCAAAGTGTGTGAGCGCCGGTCCAAATGCTCTCAAGTCCAAGCACGCTGCCGGCACCAATGTGCGGCATACCAGGCTTGTCCATGGCAGGAAACGGCTGCGAGATACGCTTTCGGCAGGGTTGTCAAGGCAATGCACAAGACAGCTTGACTGAACCTCAAGCTGCAAACATCGCACATGTAGATGCGCTGGAAAGCCTCAGGAGCAGCTCGTCCTGATCGGGAGAGATCAGACATGGTTGCAGTGACTGCGAACTGCCGTGGGTCCTTAAAGTGCTTGTTGCAACCTCGCCGATTGCGATTGACGCGATTCTCCTGCATGCTGTGACCAGATGGGTCCAACGTCTATCCATGCTTCGCCCTCGCCAATCCGTCACTAATCACCTGGTAAGCCTTACCTCGCATCAACTCCTGTATCCGATTTCTACATGGTATGCCCCGCTGTGGCAACCCCGTAAAAGTCTCCCCAAACATAGGCAAACAAGGCCCCGATGCGCGGGCTCGTCTTTGCACTGACGCCGCCAACTGCTGTAGGTTACACGGCACGTTGGCCTCTCCCACAGCTCGGGCTCGTCTCGGAACAACACATCCACAGAAGATCACGGCTCTGAGATTACACTTATAGCCGGGCCGGCGAGACAGCAACTGCCATTTCAGAAGCGCTGCCATTGCCACTCAAGAACCTGGAATTGCACCGTAAGGCGACTTTACCTGCTGCCTGTCCGCAGAATGTACGGCGGCGACCACGGAACGTCGTCCAAGCCTCACGGGTGGCAAAGTTCACAAACCTGAACCGGGCAGCGGCTCAATCCTCTGGGTGCGAGACGAACGCCCCATTGCTTGTGCAGCTCCCGTTGGCTGCGCAGGAGCTCAAAGTCCAAAGCTATGGCTTTGCGGAGAATCCTGCCAGTCGTCCGTTCTGGTTTCCCTTTACACCAGAATGTGCTGATCTAACCGCATACCGAGCTCGACCAGGAATGGCTTTCGATTTCAGGGTACAGCGATCCTCCTCGAAAATCCAATACTGCATCCCACTCTTGTGACCTGCAACAAACGACAGAAACAGTTGCCTTATGATATGCTGTCTTTTATGACGACTTGACCACCTGCCTGCGAGGCCAATGTTCCAACCTCAAAATGCAATTCAGGGAAGAGTTGGTCTCGGTACGAACCGTGCAGTACGCAAATCCCGCAGCCGTAGCGCGTGTCGGCGGAAAAGACAAAGCCGAATAAAGTGATGTCAATTGATGTCAGCTCAAAGCCGCAAAAATTGTGCTACTCTGTTTTGTACATGAGTGCCAGCCAGAGTAGTTCTGCACTCCTGGCCGACGTTGTAAATGAATGACGTGTCTCCGATAATCTTCGACTTCAGGGCCAGGGGCATGGAGAACGAAAGCTCGGTCTTTTGTTATCCTGAAAGGAAGACGACTCCTGCTTTTTGCCCTCTCCGACGCAAAGGCCCCAACTGTCACCTGCGCATACCTGCGCCCGCTAAGAGCAGCGCAGGCACGTCGATGACTGGTGCCGACTTCTTCCCGAGCTGTCCACGTATCAGGCTTGTGTTCTGGTTGGTGTTTTAGCCAATGTGCTCTACTTTGTACGAGCGCAGCTGGTCCGAGCCCCTCGGACTCAAGATTTGGGCTTCGAGCAGAAGGACTCAACGGCTACACACACGCAGACGCAGAGAGACATGGCTGCACTGCACAATCACTTCACAAACAAGTACTGATATATCAAT